CCTTTTTCCCCATGTCTTCAAGTAGTCTATCCTTTGCTGCTGCTTCTTTTATGTAATCTCAATGGCTAATGTGAAATGGAGAGTGACCACCGCCTGTGTTGAAAGGTAGGCAGAACTAGGAACTCAGGTGCGAAGATTTCACTTTCAGAGTCCCTGAGAATTAAAGGAAGCTAATTAATGATTACACCAACCAGCATTTGTCCAGGTGTGAAGTATCAGGTTGGATTTGCCCTGTCGCAAGACCATGCATTTCAAGAAATCTTTCTATAGAATTATACATGTAACCTCTTTAATGCATGTTATTTACCTGTGTAGACATTCAGAAGCCTTGAGAGTGCTGCTGGTCACTGCCATTTTGGATGCGATGTTAGCAGAGCCGCCACTAATTGACATTTTATAGTATTCCCTTTCAGTCCTCCCTTAGCAGCTACATGTAGGGAGTAAGAGGAGGGGCAGAGATGCTGGACCAGCATAGTGAGTAGTTAGACACTCCCAGAAGAGGCAGCCCCCTCCTTCTTGATGTGCCAAAAGGAAGGGGGCTGTTCTAGGGAACTGCAAAATGTAGACATGTCACCAGCACACCAGAATCCTTTTAAGATAGCAGAATGTTCATTTGGTTGAAGTTCCTTGTCATTTAAACAAGCGCTTTCGGGGCCGCGCAGGGTCCTTTCATCAGGCTTAGCATTGTCAATGCTAAGCCTGATGAAGGGACCCTGCGCAGCCCTAAGAGCGCTTTTTTATATGAGAAGAAACTTCAAATAAATGAACATTCTGCTATCTTAAAAGGATTCTGGTGTGCTGGTGACATGTCTACATTTTGCTGATATTTGCGGCACCATCTGCAGTCACTGCGAACACCCACCCCATTACAAGGGACTTTCGGCAAGGAGTGCAGCAAGGCAAAGAAAAATGTTCTACGGAACTGACTCTTCCTGCAGTAGTCCAAGTTTTTGGCAAGTTTAAATGCACATTGCAAGTGAATAAAAAACATTTATAGAAAGGAAAACACTGGTGACGGTTTGGCAATCCCCAAACAACTGTCCTGAATCTCTGCTTCCTTTTCTGCCCACACCACCAGTTAAATGAGAACACCAGTAGTTTCTTGCCGTTACTTCTCATGATGATCCCTCTTTTCTACATAAGAATTTTTTTTTTTATTGGCATGAATATTTTTGTGATTTTTTTTTTTAATCTGGTATCAGGGATTTTCATCAACTTTTCATCATGCCCGTAACATTTCTTTTTTTCCTGACCACCTAAATTAGGTCTTATGCACATTGGCAGTTTTTATATGCATTTCATTAAGCTGTTAAAATAAACCACGTGTCTGTTTTATGTAATTGAGGTGCCCCACACATTGGTCATATCAACATCTCATATCACTTTTTGCACATCATTGTGCTGGGGGTTTTATTAATGCGAACTTAAAGTAGACAATAGTTTTACATATATAATCAAAACACATATTTGTGCTACCACTAAACACATTTGTCTTTGTATTACTTATTTTATTAGCACCTTGCAGAGAACCTTGAACCACTACAGGTGAAACTGGAATAATTAGAATATCGTGCAAAAGTAATTGCAGTAAGTGCTGCAAAATGGGCCCAAACCAAGTACTGAGTACATATGCATGCTTGTACTTTTCAGAGGTCCGATATTGTTCCATGTACAATCCTTGTTTTATTGATTGCATGTAATAATCTACTTTTTTGAGGTTGTGGATTTGGGGTTCTTGGGGTTTTCATGAGCTGTAAGCCATAATCATCACATTGATGACAAATCACGGCTTGAATTATCTTGCTTTGCATGTAATATGTCTATCTCATATATTAGTTTCACCTTTTAAGTTGCATTAGTGAAATAAATGAACTTTGCACGATATTCTAATTATTCGAGTTTCACCTGTATGTGTCTCTACCTATGAGAAACTTATTCTGTCATTTGTGTACAATAGAACATTATGCTTAAGCTGGCAATACACGTTCTGGCTGGACAACAGAAAAGTTCTAGTTAGCACCATGAATGGAGGAATCTCCCTAGGCCAGCTATTGTATTCAAGCAGGTGCGGTTGCGTGGCTGCTGGAATATCCGAATAGTGACTGCAGCTGAATGGCACAGCTTTCTGCCCGGCTCCTTTAGATATTTCATTTAAAGTTTGTCGATCTGGTTGAGGTCAACAGGGCCACGCACAGCTTGGATATCCTCTGATTTGCAGGCGAAATCGAGCCATATATGGTTAACTTTACAAGCCGGTTGACCAGAAAGTTTGTTTAGGATTGTGGTAGGAAACCCTGAGCACACAGCTTAAACGCACTCAAACTTGTTATCACATCAAATCGTACCTGTGCATAGAGGGTGTTATAGGTTCTTTAGTGCTTTCTCTCTTGTGTCACATGCTTCTATTAATTCCTACATCTCAACTGTGAAATCACAGACTGGAATTCAAGCTTCTGTAGGTAAAGTAGGTTCTACTAACACAGCCTAGATTTAGTGACATCATCCCTCATTTCCTTATATGCTACAACTATTATTGACTGACATCAGCCAATAGAAAATATAAATTCATGATGAAGAAATGGAAAATAAATGCGAGTAAAGTAAAATGTTACATGGTTTCATAACTGCTATTTAAAAGAGAACTATGGGGTAAGTGTTTTTTCCCATAGTTCTCTTAAGGGTCACGGGAGGACATATACTAGCATCCTCCCGTGACCCAAAGCTCAGTATACCGCGAGGTACAGCTCGCGGTATACTGAGACCGCCGCAGCCAGGACGTACCCTGGCATTACTGTCGAGATCCACCCAGCTGCATGAGTTACAGCTGGCTCTGTCTATCTAGAAGCAGAGCCAGCTGTACCCACCCCCTCTCCTGTCCGTTCCTCCAGTCACGCTGGAGGATCAGAGCGGGGAGGGAGAGAAACTCCCTGCAGTGAGCCGTAAGTGACAGTCATGGCTCTCTGCAGGGAGATGATCGAGAAGTGAGTGTGCGACGGTATGCGTTCGCTCACTTCCCGAACTATTGAGCCGACGTGTGACAGTTTCATTGTCACACGTCGGCTCGAACTATGAGGCTGAGTGATTTGCACTCCCCTCATAATTCTCCTTTTAAAGAGCTTACAACAGTCTCTAAGCACAGGTATTGTTTGATGGGATAGCAAGAGGAACGTCATGGTTTACTTTAGGTTAAAACTACTGAAACTTGTAAACAGTGCATACACTTTGTGTATGTATAGCAATCTTCCTGTTAAGAAAGATTTCCCTTCCTAAATGCTGGCAGGTCCTTTCACTGATTCCATATCAATATTCCCAAGGCTTGTTTACATCCATAGGCCTCAGTAAAAGCTAGGGCAGGCATCTTGAGAAGGTAGGCAATGTACTGCAGAGATCATGCATTAGAGGCAGATTGGCGTTAACTCAGCCCTAATGTGATTTACTAAAAACTTGTACAAAGAATCCCTGATCCCAGCAGACCCAGAAATTTCATTTTTATTGTTTTGCACGTTATTATTCCATTATTGTGTTTTATTCATTGCCCATTTTGCTTACATTTCACATTTGCTGCCATGTTTATCTCCAGACTTTCCTGACATTCCATATTCTGACTGGTGTGCACATACCATCCCCAATCATTTAGAAGTGGTATCCCATTCTTCCAAGTATTCTGGAATTTCAGGGTGTAGTGATGGTGCATCCCAGGGCTCTGCGAGCAGTACCAAAAGTACAGAGTTAGTTCTAGGTAAGTGGATGCCTAAATCCGTTTTACTCCTCTTCCTTTTGTGACAGGACAAATATTTCTTTTCATGAGTTACTGCCCTCACTGTCAGTGCTCTGTAGCTTTATCAAAGAACTGAACTTCTTAGTGCTGTTGGTTGTTGTATCTTCTAGGCACTTAGAAGACTGGAAAATAGCAGGAAACTTTCATAATTGGTCCCATTGTTGTTAATGTACCTGAGCCTTTGTGCAATGGGTATTGAAAAGAATCACCCCCTTTTAAAATAATCACATTGTGTTGCTTTGCAGCCTGAAATGAAGAGAGACACAGTTTTTGTTTTATCCACCTGTATTTACTCAGTGCAACTTATAACATCCAAGTGAAAAATATAACACCAACATGTCAGAAAAAAATTCAAAAACAGAATCACTGAGTTGCAAAATCGATCACCCCCTCCTAAAAATGACTTGTACACTCAATCAGGTGTAGCTAATCACCTTCTCAATGGCACACAAAGCCATTTGACTTTCAATTGTGATCAGCTGTGGTCATTTTGATTTGCTCAGCATGAAAAGAGCTTTCCTGGAGCGTTTCAGTCCCTGGTACTGCAACTGAAGCAAACAGTCAACTATGGTTGGCAAGGCACTGTCAAAAGATCTCCGGGATAAGGTTGTGGACAGGCACAAGTCAGGAGATGGATACTAAAAAAAATTCAAAGGCTTTATCAATGCCTAGAAGCAGAGTGAGGTCTATTATTAAGAATTGGAAGGTATTTGGTACAACACAGACCCTCCCTGGATCAGGATGTCGCTCCAAACTGGATGAAAGAGCCAGTAGGAAACTGGTCAGAAAAGCTAGCAAAAGGCCTACAGCAACTATGAAGCAGTTGCAGGAATTTATGACAAAGAGCGGTCATTGTGTACATGTGACAACAATATCACAAATTCTCCACAAACGTGGCTTGTATGGGGAAAAAAGCCACTCCTCAAGAAAGGCCACATGCAGTAATGGCTGATCTTTGCCAAAACACACCTTGAAGATTCTGAGGCCACATGGAAAAGGGTGTTATGGTCAGATGAGACTAAAATTGAATTGTTTGGTCTCGACACTAAACAATATGTCTGGCAGAACTCCAATACCGTTCACCATCCAAATAACACCATTTGGAGGTGGTAATATCCAGTTATGGGGGCGTTTTCTCTGCAGCAGGGACGGGAGCACTTGTCAGGATAGAAGGAAAACTGGATGGGGCAAAATACCGTCAAATTCTTGAGGGAGATCTGGTGCCCTCTGCCAGAAAGTTGTCAATGGGAAGAAAGTTTACCTTCCAACATGACAATGAACCAAAGCACACAGCAAAAATGACCACACAGTGGTTGAAGGAGAAAAAAGTGAATGTCCTTGCATTGCCTAGTCAGAGCCCAGACTTAAACCCCATTGAAAATCTGTGGAATTACTTGAAGACTGCAGTCCACATACAGTCACCATCAAATATAACTGAACTTGAGCAGCTCTGCAAAGAAGAATGGACAAATATTGCAAAGTCTAGATGTGCAACGTTAGTAGAGACATGGCCCTACAGACTAAAGGCTGCAATCAAAGCAAAAGGTGGTTCAACAAAATACTAACACAAGGCGGTGATCCTTTTTCCAACTCAGTGATTTTGTTTTTTAATTTTTTCTCACATGTGTTATATCATTAACTTGGATGTTATAAGTTGTACTGAGTAAATACAGCTGGATAAAACAAAGGATGTGTTTGTCTGGTATTTTTTTCTATACCCACTTTATATATCTGGTTACCAATAGGTGGCATACAAGCAGCATCTTAGACCACAGTAAAATCACATCACTGCAGATTAGAAACCCAGATCTGTTGCAGATATTAAAGCTTGTCTACCTTTTTGCCAATTTCAGTATCCTAAAGTATTACAGGATAACACTTAAATCTTATTTCCCCAATCATCTTCCAGGACAGCAACCTGAAAGATGATTGGCTCTCGCATCTACAGGAAACACAATCGGAATCGGAAAAGTTTAACCCCCCCCCTCTCTGTCCCTCAGTTTAGATTGTGTTTCTTACCATTCCAGGTCGTCGATATGTTTGTTTCTTTTCCTGGCCGGATGGCCTCTGTGAGGCTCTGCTGGGATGAGCGCTGTGCTTCAGCCTTGTCCTGTTTCTTTCTGCCAGGTTCTCTTTCCCCTATTTTTTTGGGGGTGGGGGGACAGATGCCGGAAGTCCCCTTGTCTGTGTCCTGCTTTCTCTCCCCGGTGGGAGGGGCAGCAGTTTGAATGGGCAGGAGTGCAGGTGACTGGAGGAGGCGGGACTTGAGTTCCAAGCCTCATTCTGTGGTTTAGCACATAATTTTCTCTGGTGCCTGTTGCATCACTTCCGGTCGCCGCAGCACAAGGCTCCAGGGCAGACAGAGCGGGGAAGTTTGCTGCACGCCGAGACCACCATGAGTGAGGATGGCGGATCGGCAGTGGCTGCACCCACACTGGCTGTGTGCAGAGTGCAGGTTTTTGGGTGGTGGCAAAAGTAGTACAAAGGCGTTTTCAGTGTTGATTATTTTTTTCTTTGTTGTGGGAGCCTATTGAATTACAAAAGTCTGCCCAGATCGCAGCTCCACCTGCTGGCCCAGCCGCTAAACATGTCCGGAAGTGCTGTGGCATTTGTAACATTAAGCTTCTCTGTGAAAAGTGTATTCAGAAATTGTTAGTGAATCCTCTTCTATAATGCAAGGGTTTATGGATAGCATAAGGAATGAGATGGTAGCTACAGTTCAATCTTTTAAGTGCCTTTCCTGAATTCTTATTATTCAGTTTTATCTGCGGGTCTCTCCGGGCCCAGTATCAAAACAGGGCTCTGTTTCGGTCTCACAGGGAGAAGAGGAAGAAGCCCAAGGGCCTGATTCCTCTTCTGAATGTTCTTTGGGGCAGGGAGAAACCTTGGAGGGAGACGATAATTTAGTAGGTTATTTTCTTAAGATGACATGGACAATTTGTTACAAGCTTTTTATGTAACGGAACAGATTCCAGACCATTCCTGGACCCTCATCTGTTCAGGATAGAGTGTATAGGGGTCTGCGGGAATCTCAAGGTAGATTGTTTCTGGTGATTTAGTTCAAGAAGAATGAAAGGAACCAGTGAAAAAAAATCTGGCATTTAGATCCTGGAAGAGGAGATTTCCTTCTGGGAAGTAAGATGAAGAGAGTTATTTTAAATGCCAGAGCTGCACCCAGCCTAGATTTCAGGTTTCAAAAAAGTCTTACCTGTCTTTTGAAGATCCATGTTATCTGAAGGACCAGATGGACTGAAAGCTTTATTGGATAGGTCCTGGGATGCTAATTCTTCCTCTATGGCTCCTGCTTTGGCTGCTACTTGTGTTGCTAGAAACATGGCTCTATGGCTTGAAAGAGTTTCTCAGCATTTATTCCAGGTGGCCCCCTACAGAGCAGGTTTTGGAATCCCTTTCTGTTGTGGGTAAGTCTGTTTCCTATTTGACATATGCGGCAGCTGAATCAGTTCGGGCGTCTGCTAGATCGGCAGCACTTATTAATTCAGCTAGGAGAGCTACCGTGTTTCCCCGAAAATAAGACACTGCCTTATATTTTTTGTGGCTAAAAAAAACATACTAGGTCTTATTTTTGGGGTAGGTCTTATTAATTTTTTTAATGTATAACAATCCAAAGTTAAAGGAGAACTATGGGGTCAGGGCTTTTCCCCATAGTTCTCCTTAGGGTAAAGGGAGGACACAAACTAGCGTCCTCCCATCACCCTAAGCTAAGTATACCGCGAGCTGCAGCTCGCGGTATACTGAGACGCCACAGCCGGAGCGGATCCCGACATCGATGTCGAGATCCGCCCAGCTGCGTGAGTGACAGCTGGCTCTGCCTATCTAGAGGCAGATCCAGCTGTACCCGCCCCCTCCCCCGTCCGTTCCACCAGTCAGCGCTGGCGGAGCGGGGAGGGGGGAATCCATGCCCTCCCCTGTCACGGCAGAGAGCCGTGACAGGATCGAGAAGTGAGCGAACACCGGCATGTGTTCGCTCACCTCCCGATCTACTGAGCCGACCTGTGACAGTCTCATTGTCACAGGTCGGCTAGAACTATTAGGTGAGTGAAAAGCACTCACTTCATAGTTCTCCTTTTAATGCAAATCCAAATTAAATAATCCAAAATGGCAAAGTTAAGAATAGGGTGATCAGGGCAATCAGGGGTGCCATACCTTTCCAGAGCAATTTGGTAACCAATCTCTGGCCAGAATGAGCGAAGCTCGCTTTCACTATCAATTCCTCACAGGCGGAGTGCATTTGGTATCACTCCGTCTGTGACCGGAGCCGCTATAGAGGAAACATCGGCTTATGCGGCTCTGCTCCTTGCGCTGCCGCCTCGCTTCCTCAAGCGCTGGCTTTGCTGGCACCGCTGATTCTCACCCGCAGCTCTTCAAGTTCCCCCTTATGCCATCACCGGCCCTAGGAATGGTCACAACTAGGTCTTATTTTCGGGGTAGGTCTTATATTTTAGCAATTCCCAAATTGCTCCAAGCCTATCTTGGTTGCTCCAAGCCTATCTTCATTTGCCTATTTTTTGGCAACATCAGCAGTTCCTAAGGTTTCTAGTTCAGACAGGGATGATAGTTGATCAGTTCAGGGCGTTGCCGTTTGGGCTCGCTGTTGTCTCATACATTTTCTCAAAGATTTTGTTAGGGGGGTAGCTCATTTTCATCTCCTGAATGTATCAGTAATCCCCTACTTTACAATTTGCTCCTGTTTGCACCCACAGAGGAAGTGCTGTTAAATAACCGACAGAGGGTCAGAGAGACGTTACAGGGTCTTGGGTGGATTCTGAACTTAGAAAAATCCTCTGATCGCAGCCCAATTGAGAATCTTTCTGGGGTATCTGATAGATTCAGTCGCGGAAGAGATTGCAGGGATTCCAGGAATTGTTTGAGAGGTGTTTTCAGCGGAATTCCTGTCACTGACAGAGATCATGAGAGTGTTGGGTGTCATAAGGTAGGAGACC